CCCTTAAATTTCCACTTTGGGACCAGACACATCCAAATTTCCTGTGGGCAGGTTCACGTCCACCTCTGGGCCTTCTGCTTTGAAGCCAGGAACCCCAAATTTGGGCATCTTGAACTTGGGCATTTTGAATTTCCCCTCTGGGCCATGAATGTCCACATCTGGCACATCAATGTCAACTTTGGGCCCCTTGATGTCCACGTCAGGACACTTCAGGTCACCCTCGATCTTTGGAGCTGCGACTTCAACGCCCCCTTTCACTTTGGGCCCTTTCAGGTCAATGTCAACATCAGGCATGGAGATTTTGGGGGCCTTGAAGTGCATTTCGGGCATCTTGAACTTGGAACCCTTCAGCTTCCCCTCTGGGCCTTCCAGCTCAACATCAGGAAGGTCAACATCAACTTTGGGGCCTTTGATATCAATTTCTGGGCCCTTCAGGTCACCTTCCAGCTTGGGAACGGACACATCCACATCTCCCTTCACTTTGGGACCTTTCAGGTTCAGGTCGATGTCGGGCATGGAGATTTTGGGGGCACCCTTCAGCTTTGCCTCAGGACACTCCAAATCCACGCCAGGCGCCTCAACATCAATTTTGGGGCCCTTCAAGTCCACTTCTGTGCCTCAGGACACTCCAAATCCACGCCGGGCGCCTCAACGTCAATTTTGGGGCCCTTCAAGTCCACTTCTGGTCCTTTCAACTCCCCTTCGATCTTTGGAGCTGTGACGTCCACATCTCCCTTCACTTTGGGCCCCTTCAGGTTCAAGTCAACATCCGGCATGGAGATTTTGGGGCTTTTGATGTTCAGTTTGGGCATCCTGAACTTGGGGCCTTTCCATTTGCCTTCCCCTCCCGCCACGTCCAACTCTGGCCCTTCAATATCCACGTCCGGCCCTGAAATGTCCACCTCTGCTTTTGGGAGGTTGATGTCTACATCGGCTCCCTCAAATTTGGGGCCGGACACGCTCACGTGCGGCGTTTTAATTTTCGGCATTTTCAGTTTGGCTTCAGGACACTCCAGGTTGACATCCGGGACCTCCACGTCCAATTTGGGTCCCTTGACGTTAACGCCGGGGCCTTTCACGTCCCCCTCGATCTTTGGGACAGAAATGTCCATCTCTCCCTTCATTTTATGCCCCTTCAGGTTCAAATCCACATCGGGCATGGATATTTTGGGTGTTTTGATGTTAAGTTTTGGCATCTTAAATCTGGGGCCTTTTATTTTCCCTTCTGGGCATTCCAGGTCCACCTCGGGGACATCGACGTCCACTTTGGGCCCTTCCACGTCGATTTTGGGGCCTTTCAGCTCCGCGTCTCCTTTCAGTTTGGGAGCCTTCAAGCCCAGATCGACATCAGGCATGGACAGTTTTGGGGTCTGGACGTTTAGTTCGGGCATTTTAAATTTGAGACCTTTCCCTTTCGCTCCGATGTCCACGCTTGGCACATCCATGTCAACTTTGGGACCAGAAATGGCCACGCTTGGCACATCCACGTCAACTTTGGGACCAGAAATGGCCACTTCGCCCTTTGGAAAAGCCACATCAACGTCAGGGCACTCCGCTTTCAGGCCGGGTACCCCAAATTTGGGCATTTTCATCTTGGGAAACTTCACTTTGCCGTCTGGGGCGTGGATGTCCACATCTGGGCCTTCAACGCCAACTTTGGGGCCTTCAATGTCAATTTTGGGGCCTTTGATGTCAAGTCCAGGAGCCTTCAGGTCCCCTTCCAGTTTGGGGACAGAAACACCAAGGTCTCCTTTCACTTTGGAACCTTTCAGGTTCAGATCAATCTCAGGCATGGAAATTTTGGGGGTCTTGAAGCCCATCTCAGGCATCGTCACCTTGGGGCCCTTCAGGTGTCCTTCAGGCCCTTGGATGTCCACGCTTGGCACAGCGACGTCAACTTTGGGACCAGAAATGGCCACCTCGCCCTTGGGGAGCGTCACATCAACATCGGGGCACTCCGCTTTCACACCAGGTACCCCGAATTTGGGCATTTTCATCTTGGGAAACTTCACTTTGCCCTCTGGGGCGTGGATGTCCACGTCTGGGCCTTCAATGTCAACTCTGGGGCCTTTGATGTCAAGCCCAGGAGCCTTCAGGTCCCCTTCCAGTTTGGGGACAGAAACACCCACATCTCCTTTCACTTTGGGGCCTTTCAGGTTCAGATCAACCTCAGGCATTGAGATTTTGGGGGTCTTGAAGCCCATCTCAGGCATCGTCACCTTGGGGCCCTTCAGGTGTCCTTCAGGCCCTTGGATGTCCACGCTTGGCACGGCCACATCAACTTTGGGACCAGAAATGGCCACCTCGCCCTTGGGGAGCGTCACATCAACATCGGGGCACTCCGCTTTCACACCAGGTACCCCAAATTTGGGCATTTTCATCTTGGGAAACTTCACTTTGCCCTCTGGGGCATGGATGTCCACGTCTGGGCCTTCAACGTCAACTTTGGGGCCTTTGATGTCAACTTCAGGGCCTTTGATGTCAAGTCCTGGGGATTTCAGGGCCCCTTCCAGTTTGGGGACAGAAACACCAAGGTCTCCCTTGACTTTGGGACCTTTCAGGTTCAGGTCAACATCTGGCATGGAAATTTTGGGGGTCTTGAAGCCCATCTCGGGCATCGTCACCTTGGGGCCCTTCAGGTGTCCTTCAGGCCCTTGGATGTCCACACTTGGCACAGCCACATCAACTTTGGGACCAGAAACGGCCACCTCGCCCTTGGGGAGCGTCACATCAACATCGGGGCACTCCACTTTCACACCAGGTACCCCAAATTTGGGCATTTTCATCTTGGGAAACTTCACTTTGCTCTCTGGGGCGTGGATGTCCACGTCTGGGCCTTCAATGCCAACTTTGGGGCCTTCAATGTCAATTTTGGGGCCTTCAATGTCAAGTTCAGGAGCTTTCAGGTCCCCTTCCAGTTTGGGGACAGAAACGCCGAGGTCTCCTTTCACTTTGGGACCTTTCAGGTGCAGATCGACATCGGGCATGGAAATTTTAGGGCCTTTGAGAGCTACGTCGGGTGCGTCCATTCCCAGTTTGGGGCCTTTGATGTCAAACTGGGGCCCCTTCACGTCAAACTGGGGCCCCTTCACGTCACCGCCCACCTTTGGGACACAAACGCCCACTCCTCCCTTGGGTCCCTTCATGTTGACGTCCAAATCTGGCGCAGAGACCACGGGGCCACCTCCTGGGCCTTCAAATTCAACGCCGGGGGCCTTCACGTCCACCTTGAGACCCTTCGGGCCCAGTCCTTGGATGTCCCCTTCCACTTTGGGGACGGTGACGCCCACGTCCCCCTTCACCTGGGGGCCCTTCAGCTTCACGTCCGCCAGCGAAATTTGGGGTGTTTCAACCTTCTTGAAGGCAGGGCCTTGCCAGTCCCCTTTGACGGGGACCTCCACGGTGCCCTTCAGCCCCGCGTCCACCTTGGGGCCTTGAACCGCAGGAGCTGAAATTTCGGGTGCTGTGACCTGGACGGACGAGGAGGCAACATCCACCCCAATCTGTGGGGCCGGGGCGTCGACGGCGAACCCAAATTTGGGCATTTTCAAGACGGGAATCTTGACTTTCCCCACGTCCACAGTCGGGGTCTCCATTGCCGGTAAGGAAACGTCAATGCCGGGGCCTTTGGTATCTCCATGGGGACACGGAAGGGGGGCGCCGGTGTGGGACAGGGCCCCTCCTTGGACACCCACGCCAAAAACGTGGCCTTTGGCGCCCAAAGCAGGACCC